TCCTCCTCCTCCTGCTCCTTCTCCTCCTTAATCATTTGTGATGCTGGGGACTGACCCCAGGGGTGCTTTGACACTGAGCCACACCCCCAGTCTTTTTAACTTTAATTTAATTTTGAAGACAGGGTCTCACTCAGTTGCGAGGCTGGCCTTGAACTTGGAATTCTCCTACCTCAGCCTCCGAGTCACTGGGGTGACAGGCGTGCACCACCAAGCCCGCTGCTTTGTTTATTTTCACAAACTTGTTACACTATTTGGCCGTAAATGGTGGAATCTCTACCCTGTAAGTGTAGTCCCCGCTTCCATAATGTCGGGGACAAAGTCTTTTTGAGTTGTACCCAGCGGCTGTCACAGAGCCGAGCCCTTGAAACACACTCCTCTGGAGCAGTGTGCGTGTGGGATTCCAAGGGTGAAGGCAGCCTCACCTTTCAGAGGGAGGACGCGGTCTCCCGCGTGGGTGGTAAGTGCCTGGCCTGACGCTGTGGACGCTGTGATTCCCAGCAGGAGCTAAATCAATGACCCCGAAGCAGAGGGGGCGGGGGAGAACAGAGATTGGTACGTGGAGGGACGAGGACGGAGATGGGGGTTCTAAAGGGTCAGCTGCGCGTGCATCTGAGCAGGGGGCAGAGGAACCGGGAGCCAGGCGCAGGTGGGCAGTGCGTGGGCAGGCGGCCAGAGGGACGGGCTTGGGGAGTAGGGGCCCAGGTGAGCCGCTGCAGGTAGGACCACAGGGAACAGAGAGGGACGGAGCCGGCGCAGACACCAGGCTGGTCAGGCAAGCAGGCTGGCAGGCTGGCGGGGAGCCCGGGAGGAAGGGCCACTTCCCAGGTGGGGAGTCTGCGGGGCTGGCGGGCAGCCTGGGGGGGACGGGTGAGAGTCCTCCTCCTTCCAGGCACAGGAGCCCCTCCTTCCAGGCACAGGAGCCCCGCTGGGGGCAGAGGCTGCCTGGGGGCAGGGCAGGCCACTGGAGGAGGCCCGAGAGTCCTTCCTGCTGGCCACTGGCGGCTCTGCCATCGCGAGGGCCGATGGGGAAGGGAGCCGAGCTGAGTGGTCCCTCCCTTCCCAATAAACCAGGCCCCTCCTCGCGGAGCTGGTGTCCTGTGGCTCCTAGAAGAGTTTGCACAGAGTCCAGGGAACGTGACACCAAGGACTCTGGCTGGGCTGTCCCTCAGCCTGGGGAGAGCAGGCCACAGAAGACACAGGGGCTCCTCGTCCACCGACTGACCTGGGGGCTGGGCTGCGGGTACCTCGGGGGCTGTCCCAGAGGCCACTGAGTCAGAACACACAGCTGGACGATGTCCCTGGGCCCTCAGGAGAGCCACCCGTGGACAGTCCTCACCCTTATTTACAGATGGGAAAACCGAGGCCCACAGGAATCGCTGCTGGCGCCTGAGACTCAGGGAGCCAGTGTGGGCCACCCCGCGTGCTTGGTCAGCACGCCTGGCTGAGGCTCCCTGCAGCCACGTGGACGCCTTGCTGGAGGTGCACGGCGTCCCAGCAAGCAGCCTGTGGCAGGCGTCCAGAGATCACCTGGGGTCCCGCGAGACTGCAGAGTGCTGTTGGCTCAGCACCACTGGCCTGGTTTGCTTCCCCTATTCAACGCTCCTTGCTCTTCTCTTCCTTAGAGAGTGGTCTGGGGTTGATTCAGCATTACCCATCTATAGCACTCCCATTTCAGAGATGAAGAGACTGAGGTTCAGAGTGGCCCAGTCATGTGGCCAAGGTCACATGGTTTGCAGCAGAGCATGACCTGAGGCCCGGAACGGTCCTGCTTCCAGCCTGGTCCTTTCCCCAGCTCTCCTTTCCCTGGCGTCCGATCGCCCTTCCGGGTGTTGTCACCTGTGGTTGTGAACATGCCCTGAAGCACACTGGGCTCCTTCAGGACCAGGACCGTGCTCCCAGGCCTCGGGGGCCTTCGTGGGCTGGAGGCACACATGTGGCTCTGAGTGGCCGGAGTCCAGGGCCCAGTGGCCTGGCAGCAGAGGCTCCGGGCTCTCTGGGGGCATCTCTGAGCCACCAGCCAGTCCCGTTTGAAGCTGGCGCACTGCTCTGGTGGGTTCTCGGCGCCCGCTGGGTTGTTAGGAGGAAGCCGCACAGAGGCAGGACCCGAGACCCAGGTCCCCCAGGCCAGGACCTGAGCACGTCCCTTAACTTCTCTGTGCCTCGGTTTCCCTGGGTGTGCAGTGGGAGACGTGGGGCATGACGCGTGGCTCCACCCACCGCTGGACATCCAGGTGTCCAGCAGGCTCCCAGCTCTGCACCCGGGGGCCACGCGTGGGGACCCATGACGACTGAAACCCAGACCAGTGGCCAACAGAAGAAGCAAGATAAACACCACAGAGCTTAGCGGTGACATCTAGAGAAGGTGGGAAGAGGGCCACCAGGGAGGGGGCTCGAAGTGCGTTTGTCGTCCGAGGTGCGACACTAAATGGGGTGGTCAGGGTGCACCTTGAAGACGAGGGACATCTGAGCGGAGAGCTGAATGATGTCAGGAGGTTGGCCAAGGATATGGGCAAGGGTGGTCTAGGTAGAAGGAGGAGCATGTGCAGGGGTCCTGGGGCAGCGTGGGCCCGGGGTGTCTGAGGGACAATGGGGGCACCAGAGCAGCTGAAGTGGATTAGCAAGGCAGAGAGAAGCCGAGGACCAGAACAGAGAGGGTCAGGGTCAACTGAAGACCCTGTGGGCTCTGGCTCGGATCCAGGCTCTCTGAGTGACGGGGGAGCAGTGCAGGGCAGAGCAGGGCCGTCTGGACCCACGTCGGGTGGCCGAGAGGGAAGGTCACAAAAGCCCCACAGGACGGTCTCCCTTCTGAGCCCCCTCCCCAGAACTTAAGTTAGTGCCCTTTGACAAACCACCGATTCCCGCCCGGTCCCCTGGCTCCCTGCTGAAGCCGGGGCTCCCCACCTGCCCTGTGTCCTGCCAGGGGTGCGCGGGGGGGGGGGGCAAGCCCGCAGGCCTGGGGGGCACCGGAGGGAGCAGGGAAAGAGGAGATCTGTCCTTCTGTCTCCCAGCCCCTGAGGACCACAGCACCGTGGGCCAGTTCCACTTTCTGAAGTCACATGGGATCCAAAATAAAAAATATGACATCCCCAGGGAGGAAGCAGACTGAGCAACAGGAAACAGCCCCTCAGAAAGCGCGGGGGAGGCGCGGAGGTGTGGGGAGCGCGTGGGGGGCACCGCCAGGCAGAGGAGGCTCGGCCGCGCCCAGGTTGCCCTCTGCTGCCCAGCGAGACCAGCCCAGCTGCCTGACCCCTCCCCCAAGCCGAGGGCGGCCACCCCGTGGTGCAACTGCCCTTCCACTGAGACTGAGCGGAGAGTGCCAGATGCCCAAGAGCCACCCAAGAGCCACCCAAGAGCCACGTGGACGTGTCCTGAAACAAGAGTCAGAGGTCAGCACGGCCCGGGCGCACGCCCGGCCAGCAGAAGGCACCTCACGGCCGCTGTCTCCAAACCCAGCCTTGACTCCCCCCGGGCCGCGCCGTCTGTGCATCCTCCAGTCGCCCGTGGACGAGGATGCACAGCATCGGGCCGGGGCGCAGGCGCTGACCGCAGTGAGCGACTCACACCCCCAGCTACGAGACCCCAAGGGGACCAGGAAGGGCCAGAAAGGCACAGCTGCGCAGGGGAGAGAGGGCAGGCAGGTCGGGTCTTCGGGAAGCGCCACCTGGGACCCCAGGGCAAACCCGGAGCCCTCCGCGCACCAGCCCCTTCTCTGGCCCGCGGTGGCCCTCCCAGTGGCCGGGAGCTGGCGCGTGGCCCCGGCTCCCACCGCAGCCCCCAAACAGACGGCACCCAGCAGCCGGGCACCAGAGTGACCAGACCCCCCAATCCCACGCGTGTCAGGGACCTCAGGAGCAAAGGCCCCTCCGCCCCTGCTGGTGGCCCCTTCTGCCTGTCCTCCTCACTGTCCCCTCTGTCCTCCTGCCCGTCCCCCTGTCCCTCTCCTACTGTCTGTCTGTCTCTCCCTTCCTTTCTCTTTATCCCTCTGTCTCTCTGTCACACACACACGCGTGCACACATAGGCAGATGCACGTGTGCGCACACACACCTGTGCACACACACACCTGTGCATGTACACACCCATGAACACACACTTGTGCACACACACCCAAGAACACACACCTGTGCATACACACCTGTGCATGTACACACCCATGAACACACATCTGCACACACACCCATGAACAAACACCTGTGCACACACACCTGTGCATGCACACACCCATGAACACACACCTGTGCACACACACACCCATGAACACACATCTGCACCACACGCATGAACACACACCTGTGCACACACACCCGTGCCGACACCCGTGCACACACCCGTCCACTCCTTACCTGGCTCCTCTTCCCTTTGGCCCCTCTATTTGGGCTGCACCTGCCGGGCGCCTCTCCTTCCCCAGGGGACCTAGCTCCCTGGGGGCGCAGGGTGGGAAGCAGCGGCTGAGTTCCCGGCCTCCTGGCTCCGGCCGCTCAGCCTGGGTCCCCGCCTGTGGCTTCCTTTGCAGAGAGAAGGGAGCCCCGAGGCTGCCCGCGGGCCCTGGGGTCACAGGGATGGGACTTACCTCCTTGGTCTCTGCAGCCAGGGCCGCTCTCGGGGGCTGGGGCCGGCAGCCTGTTCCAGGGGCCCCCCGGGAGGGCGGAGCCCAGGGCTCCCCTCCCCAGCAGGGTCAGGGAGATCTTCCTGGCCAGCGCCTCGCCGTCGGGCTCCAGCAGCAGGGCGCGGTGGTACTCCCCGGAGAGCAGCTCCTCCTCGCGCAGGCTGTCCAGCAGGGCCCGCACGCGCCTCGGCTGGCGGCTGGAGAGCAGTGTCCGCACCTGGGCCAGGATGGCCTGGAAGTGGTCCATGGCTGGAGCGAGGCTGCACAGCTGGCCCAGCCGCTCACGCCTGCTGCAGCATCCGAAACGTGAAGTGAAAACCGGGACAGGGAGCCTGTGCCGCGTGTCACTGGTCCCTTCCTGGGAGGTTTCCTCATTTGCCACGGAGGCTGGGCGCCTGGCGAATGGGTAGAGAGGGACCTCGGGCTGATTCAGTCCCACAGATGTGGCTGGGCACCACCTGTGAGCATGCGCCCCAGGGGACCAAGCCTGGGGGTCCGATGAGCCAACCCACACGTCCCCAGAGGACGGGAACTGGCCTCTGGAGATGACCCCGATGCCTGGGTCCTGTCAGATGTCCTGTCCCAGTGAGAAGGCTCTGTGGCTGGGGGGTAGGGGATGGGGTGGACCGGTCGGCTTGGGTTCACGCCCAGCTCCACCGTCTGCTGATTTTATGGCCCTGGGGAAATTCCCTGGACGGTTAAGCCTCCTGCTATCAGCACCACTCTACGTGCAGGTGGAGTGACGATGACAATCCCTGTTCACAGGGACCTTGGGAGGACTGCAGCAGCTGCACAGACGACACCTCGGCCCTTGGTCCGCAGTGTGACCACAGCTCGGCACCCAAGAGCCGCTGCCATCGCCCACGACTCCCGCCAACAACAGGGAGTCACCTCCCTGGACCTCGGTGTCCTTCTCTCAATATCCACCAGTAAAAGCCATCTGGTCTCCTGCGCTGGCCCCAAGCGTTGAAATGGGGCCATGCATTTAAGAGACTTCACCCCCAACCCAGCGGCCATCCAGGGAGCCCTGGTCATGCGCTAACGGAGGCTCCACTTGTGATGCACGGGACAGCGGTCTGCATGGCCGCCAGTGCGGTTCAGGATTCCCCAGATCCAACCCACCTGACCGCTCTCCTGCCCTTCTGGACTCAGCGCCCGAGTCCTCTCGGGGCCTCAGCCTCCCATCTCCCAGCTGGGGCCTTTCCCGGGCTCTCTGCAGTGAGGCCAAGGAGGTCCCCCTCTAGCGCCCAGTAGCTCCTGCTGACCGACTCCACTACAGGAAAATGGTAAAATCCAATTCCCTGAAGGCACCGCAGAGGGCCGCCGCGGCCTGGGAGCCAGACAAGGAAGGTGAGCGCATCCCTAGTGAACCTCCCAGCTTGAGCCTCCCTGGAGGCAGGCCCTGATGGAGGCTGTGAGGGGCAGTTCCAATGGACGTGGGCAACAACAGCCGCTGGAAAGGGGGGGTGGGAACCCCAGAGAGGAGACACACAGGCCTGCCCCCAGTTTTTTGTGTCAACTGCCCAAATATCTCGCCCACTTCTCAACCTCCCGAGAGCAGAGGCCAAGCCGCGGGCTAAGACCGAACTGAGTCTGAACCACAGTCCACTCCGGGGCCCGTGGGCTGGGAGTGGGGTGAGGTCCGGAGGCTTCGCCAAGTGATGTCACTGCTAAAAGAAACAAAGGAGGGACCCGTTCAGGTCACACGGGACCCCAGAGTCTGCAACGTAGTTGTACTGTCCAGCACACAAGGCAAAATCCCTTGGCCTACACAGAGAGAGGCCAATAGAAAAAGAAAACGGTGGAAAGTGGATCGAGGGTGACTCAGACATTGACACCAGGGGCCAGTGTTTTATTTTCTTGATCCTGAGGATTGAACCCAGGGCACTGTGACGCTGAGCTACACCTTAGCCCTTTTATTTATTTATTTTTTTGGAGACAGGATCTTTCTCAGTTGCTGAGGCTGGCCTCAAACTTCCCATCCTCCTGCCTCAGCCTCTGGAGCCGCTGGGATCACCGACGTGTGTCAGGCTGCCCGTGGGCTCCGTGGGAGGAGTGCGATTTGAGGAGCTCTCGAGTGTGAGCAGGTGACTGTAGAAAACCACACCCAGGCTCATAACCGCCAACTGCTAAGGAATGGAGGCCCCAGGAAACTGGAGAAAGCAGCTACTCTGAGACCGTGTGTCACCCGCAGAGAGACTCGCCGTGGGAATGGCGCTGGGGGGGGAGTCCCAGGGACTCAGCGGGGCGCTGTGTTTCATCACCAGCTCAGCCGGGGGACCTGGTCAGCACGTTGCTGCTCCTGACTTCCTGTTCGCCTAAAGTGTGGATGGTCGGTCATAAGATCATCGACATCCGTCTTAGGTCTTCATCTGGAGAAGTCAAAGGTGATGACGGTGACGATGCTGCTCTGGGACCGGGGGTCTCCATGCCTCCGGGACTCCTCACCCGCGGGCGGCGCAGAGCCACACTTTGGGACACTGATGTCAGGGTCCTGTCACAGATGGGGACCTGGGCCCTGATTGACAGCCCACCCCAGGGGCCTTGGGGACGAGAAGCCTGTGGTTTGAGACTGGGGGGGAGGGGGCAGGGTGGCGGTCACAGGCAGAATGCCCAGGCTGGAGCCCCCTGCAAGGCCAGGGCTCGGGGCCCGAGGTCACCTACCTGCCGAGGGAGGTGACGGCTCTCCTGCTCCAGCTCCCAGGCTTGGGGACCCCGGTGAGGACGCCGCGATGTAACACAAACAAGGTCAGAAGCCACGTCCCCAGTGGAGCAGCCGCCCAACGCCCATCACCCCACGTCACCCGGTGCACGTCACCCGCCTCACCGTCCAGAAGCCACCCGGGGTGTGAGGTCAGGGGACCTGGGCAGGAACTGGGGACCTGGCAGCCTGTGGGTTGGGAAAAGGAGAAGAGGGTGGGGACGCGGCCCGCGCCAGGTGGCCACTTCCTCCTGAGACGCAGAGGAGACCCGCTGCCGCGTGGGCAGGTGGGCAGGTGGCCGGCCTGTGACGGCTCAGGTGGCCCGCGGACAGGGCACGTGCTGAGCCCCAGCCTGACTCACCCTGGCCACCCACGGGGACGCGGCGGCCACCTTTCTCCCTGGGTTTTCCCCGAGGCACGCGGAGGACAACGGGTGGGGACAGTGAGGTGTTCGCAGAAGGAGGGGACGACCTGCTGCAGGTCGCGTCAGCCACAGGTGGGTCAGGAGACCGGGCCTGGGGGACGCCGGAACAGTGCCACCGTCACTGTCTTCTCCCACCCACTGCCACCGTCACCGTCACGGCCACAGCCACCCTGATCACCTCCATCATCGCCGCCGCGGTTCCCACCACCTCCCCACCATCCCCCAAGACTGGCTGCTCCTGCCACCTCCATCACGGTCACCACCGCCCTCGCTGTCCCCATCGCCCCGTCTCCATGCCTCTGTGTGCTGAACGCGGTCCCCACCACTGTGTCCCCACCACCCCGGCTCCTGGCCCACCCACCGCACCTCGGTGCCCTCCCAGCAGCCCACGGGGGTCCACCTGGTCCATCCTGACGCGTGAAGCTGGGGAAGATTCAAAACCCAAGCCGTGACCCGCCCGTCACTCCCAACACTCCACACGGGGTGCGGGTACCACCGGGGACACGGGTTGGGACCCAGTATGGAAATACCACTGTTTCTCCCAGCAGCTCAGTTCTGAAGACAGAGAGAGACTCTGCCCATCCTCTACCCGAGGCTCAGAGACATCGAGTGTCCTGCTGAAGGTCACACAGCCAGTAACTGCCAGCATCAGGCAGAAGAGGGTCTACATCAAACACACACCCCCCGGGTCACACGCCCAGCCTCCGCCCTGGTCACAGAGCAGGGGAGGCAGGGCTTTTGCACACTATCCAGGTGTGGGAGCCGTGGAGACGCCACTGGACCCCCCTGGTCAGCAGACACGGCCGAGACCCCAGGCGGCCATGGCTGGGCAGTGTGGGTCTCCTGTGGGAGATCCCTGCCCCGGGTTCTCAGTGCCCTGGCGGAGGCTTCTCAGAGCCGCACCCCAGAGCCTCCCTGGGAGCCCTCTCTCCCAGCGTCCGGCCGCCTGCTCTCCCTCGGTCTCTGCCTCCCACTTCTTTCAAAGGCATTGTCCCCCGAGTCTCCCGGGCCCCAGATCCCAGCCGGGGACTCTCCCCTTCCCGGCCTTGAGCCTGGACTTTGGGCCAACGCCCTTCAACCCTGTGGAGGAGCGTTGGCCACTGTAGCTGGACCCCGCTGTGAGTCAACGCCACGCTGACCCCCACCCGGGGGCTGGCCCTGGCACCCATGTGGGGTCCCCGTCCACTGTGGACAGTGGGAGCAGGCCTCGATGTCCTCCTCTCTGAGGATCACGGCAGCCCTATGGCTGGGCACCTAAGGGGCACCCGGCGAGGGCGTCGCTCTAGGGAGTGTGGCCTGAGAGGGACAGCGTGACAAGCACTGGGGACGCAGGTGTGGGCCAAATCAAGGTGACGGTCCCACTGTCCCGGAACTTTGTCTTCTTAAAGCCGAATCCAAATCTCTCCGAGATCCTCAAGAGAAGGTCACGCAAACAAGATGAGCGCGACTCTGAGAAGGGGAAACGGAGGCCGGGCCACGGTGTCCTTCAGGGGGAACCGACTGGGTTCAAGGGAAGCAGGAAGCCCGGGCAGGGCGGTGGGTGCCCAGCGCTGGCCGTGGGCTGTCTCTCTGGGAACGCCGGACAGCGACTCAGCGAGCCAAGGTCAAGGGCATCTTGCTCTCTCTTACAAAGTGTCATGATTCCACGTCCAATGACATAGACGTCCTCTGAGCGCGCACACCTGTCTCCGTCTCCTTCATCCACGTCCGCAACCCCAGTCTCTTCTGTCACACCCACCGCTCTGCGTCGTGATCCCCTTGGGGTGACAGAGTCTCGGGGAACATGTTTTTCAGTACCGTGACTTGAGCCCAGGGCTGTCTACCCCTGAGCTACACCCAGCCCTTTGTATTTTGAGACAGAGTCTTGCTAGGTTGCCCAGGCTGGCCTCAAACTTACAATCCTCCGGCCTCAGCCTCCTGAGGAATCACAGGCGTGTGGGGCTGCACGGCGGCTTCAGGGTACACTTTCCCCTGCCCCTCAACGCAGCCCCGAGACTGAGACCAACCCGTGTCCCAGCTGCGTCCCCACTCAGCCTCACACGGGGGTGTGCCCCACGGGGGTGTGCCCCTCGGGGCCCAGCTCTGCGCAGCCATCTGCCACCATCACAGGCTGCTGTCGATGTGTGGGTCCACCACGGGCCACGCGTCCAACGGGGGTCGCAGGACACAGGGCTCAGGTGTTTGGGGCGATGCTGGTGGAAACAGACCCACTGTGCTGCCAGTCGGGGAGGACACAGAACCTACCACCATGACCAGTACGCCAGGCCCCGTGACGGTGACCACAGCCCGTCCCTGGGTCACGCGTGGGCCTTTATTATGAGTTTCAAGTGTGCCCCTCCTGTTATCTAAAAGACGAGCCTGCTGTGTGTCGCTCCCGCATCCAGCACTGACCACGTCTTCTGACTGCATCGTGCCCAGGTTTAGGTTTGTTGATTACATTCCACGATGGTGACATGGTGACCAGATAGCCTGACGGAGCATTTCCTCAAACACATCCTGGTGTTAAGCAATGCACATCTGTACCCATGCTCACCTGAGCAGGGCATGATAGTGCTTGTCTGTGATCGCAGCCACTCAGGAGGCTGAGGCAGGAGGATAGCAAGTTGGAGGCTGCCCTCGCATCTTAGTGAGACCCTGTCTCAAAATAAAAAATTCTAAGGGCTGGGGACGTGGCTCAGTGGTGAGCGCCCCTGAGCTCAGTCCCTGGTACCCGAACCCCAGAACCTGGCTAGGAAAGGCAGGATGGGACGGAGACACTACTTGAAGCTGCGGTCAGTGGGACTAAGCTGTGGAGCCGGTCCGTCCTCAGCTCAGGAGGCAGCTACAGGGTCGTGTCCACTCTCAGGTGGACAGATGTCAAGGGCTGGAGGGCATTTCCTTCTTTTCAGCCTGATTTCCTGATGAAGGTTCGCTCGAGAGCGAGACGGGACGATCTTTCCACGAGTTTCCAACGCTGTGAGCGCACAGAGACGTGATCTGCAAAGACATTAAAGGTCCCTCGGCCTGCGCCGTCCCTTCAGTCCCTTCCTACTGAAACCCGTCGCTTTCCTCGTCCCCTCTGGTTCCCGGGTCTCGTCTGGTGCTCGGCTTTGGCGCTCTTTGGGGGTGATTGGAATGTCCCCCTCATCACCTGCATCCCCCCTTCAGGAAATACTGTCCCTTGGCAAGAGTGGCCACGTCACCTTGCACAGGGTCCTGAACCCTCGGAGACAGACTGGCCAACACCCAGAACAGAGGGTGTCCGTGTGCCAGGGCCAGCTGCTGGTGACC